CCCTGGAGTAATTTACGGCTTACAAGTGCCGTACAGGTGGCTTAGGGGGAACAGATAACTCCGCTAAGTGGGCTCGGCCCATTTCGGCTAGATCTGTACGGCCTCAAGCCACTCAGGGCACGTGCAACCCACTTCTTAGCAGGGTTAGGCTGGATAGAACCCCACCTGTACCCCCCCTTATCATCTTAGCAAACCCCGCGGCGATCCGAGTACCCAGAAACGATTCAGAACGACAAACTGGTCCCGGGGAACGGGTCCAGACCATTGGGGGTCGACGTTGTGAAAGAAATACGCGACGTCCGGGGTCTGGGCTCGGCTGCACGCAAGAGTGGCCCCATGGGCAAGAGTGGCCTCTGGTGCGCGGCTTCTGGGGAGCCGCGGGGCAGGGGCAAAGCCCAAGCGAGCAAAAGACGCAACTGCTGCATGCTGGGGCAAATCATTCCACGCATTTTTCGTAGATTCGACGAGAAAACCAATTTTGGGTAAACATCAATTCTCCACAGTCGGCACGTATCACAAGGACGGGCGATAAGGATGCAAAGGGCCTTGGAAGCCCATGTCGAAGCCCTTCGAGCGGGGCGCGGCCAACGAAAGCGGCCAAGGATGGGCCGAGGAGTTGAGGATGCGAGGGCACCCTTGGGAAAGTCGCTCATCCTTAATAATTGTGCGGGTCGACTGTAGTCGATCTCCTACTGGAACCAACGGTCACGCCGGCAAAAGGCCACTCGTACCTCTTGCGTGTGGTCGCTTCCTGGGCGGCGCGGCCGCCGCCGCCACACCCGGCGCCTCGGGGCGGCGCCGCTTCCTGCGGGCCACCGTCGGCGCCGCGGCCTGCGCGGGACCCCGAGCTCCTGGCGACGCAAGCTTCCTCACGGTGGGCGCTCTCGCCCCGCCTCGTGCGCCCCCCCGGAGCCCTCGCAGGATATATCGATCCGGCTCGGCCAGGGGCGGCGAAGGGCGGGGTCCGGGCCTCTGGTCGCGACTCTGCGGCGCGGCGCCGAAGCATGGCTCGCGGCGTCGCGTCGACGCCTCGGGCCCGCGATGGACACGGGAGCCGCAGCGGCGGAGGTCGGAAGCCCCAGGTGGGGAAGCGCCGGGTCGGCGGAGACCGGCAGCCCAGTGGAGATCTCGGAGCCCGAAGTATAGCACCGAAGCGGCAGCGGAGGCCATCGACGTAGCACCGATATCGAGCCCGAGGCGTCGCGGGCCCAGACCCCCGTCGTCGCGCGTTTTTCCGCAGCGCCGACCCCCAGAGGTCTGGGGACCCCTTCCCCAGGACAGGCTCTGCATATGATCCCTTGCCGACGGCCCCGGGGCCCTGTATATAGGAGCCCCCGGAGGTCGAAAACTAGAGGTCTCCCAGATGGGGTCGGAGGAGATGGGGTCGAAGGATCGCGCCGCATCGCCGATGCATCGGCGATGCATCGGCGATGCATTGGCCATGCACCAGCGATGTCGGCGATGCATTGGACCCGTCGGCGTGGCGAAAGTCGGGCTCCGTCCGCATCGAGCCGCATCGTCGATGCATTCGCGATGCGGCGCAATCCTTCGACCCCGTCTATACTTCAACCCAATCTGGGAGGCCTCTAATTTTAGGCATCCGGGGGCTCGCGAAAAACCTCCCGCCGCGATTCTTGCTCACGACGCCCCGCTTTTCGCTTCTCTCGACGTCGCGTTTTGGTTCGCCGGGTCGACCACCAAAGGTCTAAACCCCTTCCCGGGGACTGGCTCTTCATGCTCAATATCCTTTCCCGACGGCCCCGGGGCCCTGCAGGAGCTATCCCGGAGGCCGAAACCAGCGAAACACTGGAGCGCGACGCCTCCGGCTCGATCTCGATCCGAGATCGGTGGCCTCCGATGCGACTCTGGCCTCCGATCCGGACTTCGGTCTGGCCTCCCTGGCCTGCCGATCTCTCCGCCGACCCGGCGCTTCCCCGCCTGGAGCTGCCGACCTCCGCCGCTCCCGGCTCCTGTGTCGATCGCGGGCCCGAGTCGTCGACCCGACGCCGCGACAACAAAACCACGACCGGAGCCCCAGACCCCGCCTTTGTCGTTCTTCTGCGTCCTTCCTTCTTCGAGCCGGATCCATCGGCGAGGGTCCCGCGGGGCCCGAAGCGGGGCGGACAAACGCCCGCGGTGAAGAAAAATTGCCACGCCGGGATCTCAGGGCGACGCCCGTGCCGCCCGCCCCGCCGCGGGAGGGCGCGGCCTCGGAGGCGGCGCCGGGCGCCGCGGGGCGCCGCTTCCTGCGGCCCGCCGGGGCCGGGGCCCGCGCCGCCCGCGCCGCGGCAGCGGGGGCGGTCTGGGAGCCCTCGGGTGCGCCGTTCGAGGATCCACGAACAAGCGTGATAGAAAACTCCGAACAAGTGTGTGTGTGTGTGGTTGCGTTTGTGTTTGTGATTGCGTTCGTGTTTGTGTTTGTGTTTGTGTATGTGAATGTGTATGTGTATGTGTATGTGTATGTGTATGTGTATGTGAATGTGAATGTGTATGAGTGTGTGTATGTATGTGTGTGCGTGCGTGCGTGCGTGCGTGTGTGCGTGCGTGCGTGCGTGCGTGCGTGCGTGTGTGCGTGCGTGCGTGCGTGTGCGTGCGTGCGTTATCTCTATATAGTATAAGGTTTCTCACAACATGTTCATACTATAAATATACACACACACACACACATCTATACGTATGCATATATATGCATCAGAGTGAGAGGGCTGAACCAAACGATCATTCACTGTCCCTGGGTGCGTGGCTGAAGTGGAATTCCGCGATGCGGATTAATGTTGTTGGTGGTGTTGTTTGTTGCTTGTTGTTTGTTGTTTGTTGTTTGTAGTTTGTTGTGGTCGTCGTCCCACCCGCGATCCGCCCCGCGACCCACCCGCGACCCACCCCGCGACCCACCCGCGACCCACCCGCGACCCACCCAGCGACCCAGCCCGCGACCCACCCGCGACCCACCCGCGACCCACCCGCGACCCACCCAGCGACCCGCCCGCCACCCACCCCGAGACAAAACTTCGGCGCCTGCGGCGGGTTTCTTTTGCATCTGCGACCCACCCGCGACCCACCGGCGACCAACCCCGCGACCCACCCCGCGACCCACCCCGCGACCCACCCGCGACCCACCCGCGACCCACCCGCGACCCACCGCGACCCACTCGCGACCCACCCGCGACCCACCCCGCGACCCACCCAAAATTTTCGGCGCATGCGACGGGCTTCTTTTGCATTCGTTCCAGGCACATATATATATATATATATGTATGTATGTATGTATGTATGTATGTATGTATGCATGTTATATACACACACATAGAAGTCAGTCAGGCGCTGCAGGATCCTGCAAGGATCCTGCATGGTCCTGCAAGATCCTGCACCCAAGCCCGGGTCAGTGCGACCCGCTGGCCCCGCAGGATCCTGCAAGATCCGGCGCTCTGGCTGACCCCCGTTCCCAGACCCCCGACACGTCGACCTCCATAGGTCTGGACCCCTTCCCCGGGACGGGTGTCTCATCCTAGGAGGCGCTTTTCTGGACGGCCCCGAGGCCTGGTATCGGGGCCCCCAGAGCCCGAAGAGAGAGCGAACAACCGCCCGTCGTGTTTTTTCTCTCGCACGGCGAGGAGCTCTGGGTCGTGTTTGCTTTTTTCGGGAGCGGCCAAGAGGGGGGTGTCCAAGAGGGGGGGGTGCAAATCATGACCAGCGGCATTTGCGCGGCCCAGCGGGGGGGCCTGGGACGTAATGAAATAAGAAGAGGCGCCATGAAATCAGAGGAAAAATCATGGCCCGCGCCATGAAATCCACCCCCCCCTAGTCATCACCCTCCTCTTTTCCGCCCCCGATTTTTTGTTCCCAGCGCGAGGCGGTCCGGGCTCGCCCTGGCCCCCCGTCTCAGGGCCTCCGAGCCGTGCGCGCGACCTCGCCTCCGGGCAGCGGGGGGCGGCGCAGCGGCGGCGGCGCGTCGCGCGGCGGCGCGTCGCGCGCCGCCGCCCGCGGCCGCCTCAAAGGGGCGGGCGGTACAACGGCGCAGCGGCCTCACGGCGGTGCTCGGGAGCCGAGCGGCGGGAGGTCGAGGGACCACGCCCGCCTGCACCTTACCAGCCTGGAACATATCCCTATCCCTATGCTGGGCACCTCCTCATCACGATGCCAATCTTAGGGATTCCCTTATTTTTTGAGGGCGAACCCCTAAGATTGTCATCGCCTTCTGGCGTGTCAATCTTAGGGACAGGGATACGTTCGAGGCTGGTGAGCATCGCCCCATCTGCGAAGGGATCGAGCGGACGCGACACGGCGACTTGCAGGAGAGCGCGAGCCACGCGTTCCCACACCGCCGAAGCCTACACCGCCGTTCCCCACATCGTCGCTGGCCCGTCTACGGGCAGGCTTCGCGCCGACCCGAACATACAGTGAACACGTTTAGAAAGAACGGGTGGTAAGGACGCAAGGCCCTTGGAGGCCGAAGCTGGGATCTGTGGGGCGGCGGGCGACCAAAACCCGAGTGGCGCAGGGGAACCCTAAAACCGCAAGGAAACAAGGGTATTCCAGAAAAGTGGCACGTCCTTTCTCTGCGCGTCGGTCGGAAGAAGTGGGTGGAAACATGAAGTGTGGGAAAGCCGCTCGCCCCCTGAAGAGGAGGGAAGAGGGACCGCCGCTCGAATCTTGAAGTAGATTTGGGGTCTGGCACAAATACTTTCAACACCTGGCGCGTATCGAGTCCCGAGCGGTACGGCCAGAAAGCGCCCGCCGCAGAACATATACTACACGATTTTTCTCGGTGCGCGCGTCGCCCATCTGGATGCGACGCGCACGTAGTATTAGTATGGTCGGGTGGCGCAAAACTCATGAGGGCTCTTGCGAGTCGACGCTCGCCGATGCGAATCGGCGCTAGTCGACACTGCATCGATGCCAATCGGCGCTAGATCGGCCCTTCCTCATCGGCTGCCAGACGCATGCGTTCTGAAGGCGGAATTGCGAGGACATGCAAGGCTCACATGATTTGCTGCCGAAGCCTCTCGCTTCCGCAGCACGTGCACCGCGCAGCTGCCGATGCCGGTCCGCTGGAAGTCCCTGTGCAGGCAGTGCTGTGGCAGCTCGGCCCTCTCGAACACGGGGTCCAAGCGCGAGAAGAAGCGCTCCTCGCCCTGAGCATGGCCTGGGGAAACCGAAAGGCACTGCTACCGCTGCTCCCTGGGCCTCTCCCGAGGTGCGTCCTGACCAGGAGTTCGAGGCGAATCCAGCGGTGGCGACGAGGGCCGCCCAGGAGGCCCCCCAAGTGGAGCACGAGGGAAGGGCAGAGGTACGGGAACCTGTTCCTCCCCTGACGGCCAGCGGGGTAGCGGCGCACGTTGGCGATCAGCAGCAGCGTCTCGGGACCGGCCAGCGCGCCCAGCGTGGAGGCCAGCCCGGCCAGCGCCTCCTCCCTGTCGCTGGCGTAGATGACGTCGGAGGCCAGCAGCAGATCCGGCGGCCGCGAGAGGCCCAGGCTGGCGGGCGACACGCTGTCCGACCAGAGCAGCCCCTCGACCCTGATGGGCAGCGAGCCAGGGTGGGGGTGCATAAGCCACCCCCATCATCTATGAGAGTCACCCCGACAAGCGAAGCCGTTCAGTAAACGCACCCAAGGGAAGAATCGAACAGGGCAGGACTGTTTAGTAAACGCCCAGGGCCGTTTAGTAAACGCTTGTCGGGTCTGGAGGCCCTCTCAGGAGGCGGCGGGACTCTTCAGAAGCACCATGCGTGCCCTCCGGGAGGCTCCCCGCGTCTTCGGGGACGGCCTGGGGAGCTTCTCAAAAGGCCGGGGGGACACCCGCGCCTTCCAAGGGGCCCGCCCCTCCTCACTTCCCTCAGGTCGGGCATGTCCTCCTACGGGTGGATCTTGGGAGGAAAGTAAAACAGAATCGAAAAGTATTCAGGCGCACTCAAAAAATAATGGAAAAACTCATCCCCATACTATGTGTTTGACTATCTTTGAACCTTCCTCCTGCAGAGGGACATGCCCAGCTCGAGACTGCCCCCCTCCTCCTCCGCCTTGATCCTCCGCCCTGCTCCTCCGCCCTCCCTCCTCCGCCCTCCCTCCTCCTCCTCCTCTTCCTCCCTCCCTCCCTCCCTCCCTCCCTTCCTCCCTCCCCCTCCCTCCCTCCCTCCCTTCCCCTCCTCCTCCTCCTCCTCCTCCTCCTCCTCTCTCCTCCTCCTCCTCTCCCCTCCTCCTCCTCCCTCCTCTCCTCCTCCTCCTCTCCTCCTCCCTCCCTCCTCCTCCCTCCTCCTCCTCCTCCTCCTCCTCCTCCTCCTCCTCCTCCTCCTCCTCAGCCTCCTCCCTCGGCGCGCCGCCGGCCTCAGCCGCCCGCCCTCGCCCGCCTCCCGCGCCGCGTTCCTGCGGAGCAGCTCCAGGACCAGCGGGTCGCCGTCGGTGGCCACCACCTCGACCCCGAGGCGCGCCGCGACGGTCGGGCCGCACGAAAGGGGGGGATAGCTTGGTAGTCGAAGCCAATCTGGCGCCAATCTGGCAGGCCCAATCTGGCAAACGGGGGCAATCTGACGAGGGAGCCAACGCGAATCCAGTCTGGCGAATGCCCCCAATCCTCCAGTTTGGCCGGGCCAGATGGGCCCTTGGGGCCCAATCCAATCTGACAGTCTGGCCTTCGACTACCCAGGATAGGCAAAGGGGGGGGTACGAAATCTGCTGCATGCGGCTGGCTTCGGCCCCGCCGCCCCCGCCCATTCCTCGACACATGTGGGCGCCTCCCGGCGCCGGGAGGCGCCGGGGAAATCAGCTACGCGAGCCGATTCTCGACCCTACCCTTCTGTCGGGCGTGTCCCCCTACAGGGGGATTTTCGACGAACAAATTATCCCGGCAAAGCAACCTAACAGCGATGTGTAGAAGCATATCTGAAAGCATTCCCCTTAAGATTCAGATGAAAATCCAGTTGTAGAATTCTGCTGTTCTCGCAGTCGTAGTCGCATTCGCGATGACAGTCGCAGCGGCAACGGCAGTCGCAGTCACAGCCTCAACCTCAGCCTGCCTCAGCCTCAGCCTCAGCCTGCCTCAGCCTCAGCCTGCCTCAGCCTCAGCCTCAGCCTCAGCCTCAGCCTGCTTCAGCCTCAGCCTCAGTCTGCCTTCAGCCTCGGCCTCAGCCTCAGCCTGCCTCAGCCTCAGCCTGCATCAGCCTCAGCCTCAGCCTCAGCCTGCCTCAGCATCAGCCTGCCTCAGCCTCAGCCTCAGCCTGCCTCAGCCTCAGCCTCAGTCTGCTTCAGCCTCAGCCTCAGTCTGCCTTCAGCCTCGGCCTCAGCCTCAGCCTGCCTCAGCCTCAGCCTGCCTCGGCCGCAGCATCAGCCTGCCTCAGCATTTTAAAATGTGGCCCCGGAACGGACTTCTGGGAACTAGAAGAACACGAAGTGGCCTACAGTTGGCTCCGGGCATTCAAAATGTGGCCCGGGAATGGAGTTCTGGGAACTTGAAGTGCACGAAGTGGCCTATTGGCTCTGGGCATCCAAAATGTGGCCCGGGAATGGAATTCTGGGAAGTCGAAGAGCACGAAGTGGCCTACAGTTGGCTCCGGGCATCCAAAATGTGGCCCGGGAATGGAGTTCTGGGAAGTCGAAGAGCACGAAGTGGCTTACAGTTGGCTCTGGGCATTCAGAATGTGGCCCGGGAATGGAGTTCTGGGAGGTCGAAGAGCACGAAGTGTGTGACTGTTTGCGAAAAACGAGTGCGGCGGCAGCCGCGCCGGGTCCCGCCCCGGGTCCCACCCCGACCACCCTGAGGAGTCATGATGCCTCTTTTGAGACCACTAGAAACCTATCAGCAAGAGCTGTTAGGTAAAAAACCAAACGTATGCCAAAAAGGCCAAAACATACTCAAAAAACAGTCCCCCGATTATTTTGTATAATTTTCTAACTATTGTTGGGGTATGTTTTATATGTCGTCGAAAAGTCCCCCTGCAGGGGGACAGGCCCGACTGAACCCTACCCTTTGCGATCCCCCCCTGTCGCTCCCCCCGAGACGAGGGACGGGAGCCCGAGGCCCGCGCCCAGCTCCACGCCCAGGCTCCTCGGAAGGGAGCCCATAGGGACACATCAGCAGGCCCACGCACGCAGACCCCGGGACTCCCTGCACGCGTTTCTACATGTCCTGTCCTGGGTGTTCGTCTTCCCCGCCCCCCCCCCCCCACGCCCAGCTCCACGCCCAGGCTCCTCGGAAGGGGCCTATAGGGACACACCAGCAGGCCCACGCACACAGGACCCCGGGACTCCCTGCACGTGTCTCCATACGTCCTGGGCGTTCGTCTTCCCCGCCCCCCGGCCACTTCCCAGATTCTCCTATACAAGTTCCTGGGGGGCGACGATGCATCGTGTCTCTGTGTGTTCTTCCCCTCCGGATCCTCGCCCACCCGCGCCGGAGCCGCGCCGGGGCGAGGTGGCCGACGCTCTCCGCGTGCCCCAGGCCGGAGCCCTGCCGCGAGAGCCACTCCTGCTGGAGGAGGCAGAGGCACAGCCCTGCGACCACCCTGCCCTCGTGCTCCCCTTGTTGGGGTCTCCCGAGAGGCATTCGCGGGATTCGCATCGAGACTCTGGTCCGAACTCACCCCAGGAGAGGTCCTGGGAGCAGCGGTATCACAGGCCTCTTCGATGGGGTCGGAGTAGATGGGGTCGGTGCATCGCGCCGCATCGCCGATGCATCGGCGCTACATCGGCGATGCAGTGGTGATGCACCGGCAACGCATCGTCGACGTAGGCGATGTGTCGCCGAAGCCGGCGTGGAGCAAATCGGCCTCCGCATCGGGCCGCATCGGCGATGCATCGGCGATATGCAGCGATCCTCCGACTCTGTCTAATCCGATCCCCATATAGGAGGCCAATCGGTATATCTAGAGGAACGAACGGTGACATAAATATAAAAACTCGGAGGTCCGCGCGCGCCAGGGAGGGAGGTCCAGCGCCGATCCGAGAAATCCGCGCGGACCTCCGAGTTCTTATGTTTATGTGGTTAGACGTGGGCGATGTACCGCCTAAGCCGGCGTGGAGCAAATCGGCATCCGCATCGGGCCGCATCGGCGATGCATCGGCGATACGCAGCGATCCTCCGACCCCATCTGCTCCGACCTCATATAGGAGGCCTAGAGCTATAGCATAGGGCTCCTCCAAAGCTATAGGGACGGTAGGAGAAGGAGGGACGGGAAGGGGACCCCTTCTGTCACAGAGGGCCTCCGCCTCTCCAAGATAAAGGGCACTTCTGTCACAGAGGGGCAACCTTGTCTCCGAATCTCGGCTTTTGGATTAGCTTTAGGATCCTTCCCAGCTCCGCGAGGACGTAGGCCTAGAGGAGGAGGAGGAGGAGGAGGAGGAGAAGGAGGAGGAGGAGGAAGAAGAGCTCGGCCTAGAGGCCCAGAGGCACATACGAGGCCTAGAGAAGGGGGAGACGGAGGAGGAGGAGGAGGAGGAGGAGGAGGAGGAGGAGGAGGAGGAGGAGGAGGAGGAGGAGGATTTGACGAGGAGGAGGAGGAGGAGGAGGAGGGAGGAGGGAGGAGAAGGAGGAGGAGGAGGGAGGAGGAGGAGGAGGAGGAGGAGAGGAGGAGGGGGAGGAGGAGGAGGAGGAGGAGGAGGAGGAGGAGGAGGAGGAGGAGGAGGAGGAGGGGAGGATGAGAGGAGGAGGAGGAGGAGGAGGAGGACGAGGAGGAGGAGGAGAGGATAGGAGGGATCCCACAGCGAGGACGTAGCCTCGTGCCCGTGGCGCGCCCGTCGGCGCGCTGCGGGTCCCCGCTGCGCGCCTCGCCGCCGCCGCTCCTCCGGCGCTGCGCCCGCTCGCCTCTCGCGCCGGGCACGCCCGCCGCGAGGCGGATGGCAGGAGGAGAAAAAACGCCATAAGCGTGGGCATTTTCTTAGGGTGGAGGGCTCAGGGTGGAATCCACGTGGGCTCTTGCACCTCGATGATCAGTCCGCCTTGTGTGACTCACCTTTTGCAGCTTCGAGCCTCGACAATCCATCGAAACGGCGTTTCAGATGTCACCCTTTCCCCTCCACCCAGAGAACATGCCCGGTAAACGTAAACCTGTTGGCGCTCCGCGCGGATTTCTCGGATCCGCGCCAGAACCCCCTCCCTGGCGCGCGGAGCGCGCCAGGGGCGGCGCCGGAGGTGCCGCCAGGGGGGACACAGCGCAGATCCAAGAAGTCCGCGCGGAGCGCCGCAAGGTTGTGCTCATGGCGTGCTTCCTTCTTCTGGGATGGGCGCACCCAGGCCGGGGAACTCGTACACGAGCTCCCGCTGCTCCGCCGCCAGCTCCGCGAGCAGGGAGGACCGGTGGCCACAGGTGAGCCCTACCCCCACCACCCACGATTTTTCTGAGGGGGGTGGGTGTTCACTCCGCTCGGGGCCTCCCGAACGAAATGAGCCCCCACCCCCCCTCAGAGATCGTCGGGGTTGGGGGTAGGGTTCACTTGTGGCCGCCGAGAGGAGCTGCCGCCCGCCCGGCGGAAGGCGCCCAGGAACTTCAGCAGCTCCTGGCTGTTGAACTCGCTGCTGCGCCCGCGCACCGCCCGCCCGGCGGCCTCCACGAAGTCGGCCGCCGGGGCCGCCAGCGCCGCCAGGGCCCAGACCATGTCCGCGAGGTCGCGCGGGGCGAGCTCGGCGAGCATGCCGAGCGCCGCCGCGGCGATCGCCGCCGCGGCCTCTGCGCAGGGCGCGCCCTCCTTGGCGAAGGCCCACAGGATCATGGAGAGGTGCCGGGGCGAGAAGCCGTGGTCCTTCTTCGCGAGGCGGCGCTGCACCAGCGAGCCGATGGCGGTGAAGAGCCTCGGGGCCCTCACGTCTAGACGCCCGAACGCCCAGGCCACACTCGCCAGGTCGTGCGCGTTGAAGCGCCCGGCTGCGACGCCACGCCGCGCCGCCGAGGCCACCTCCTGGAGCACGTCCTCGTCCCGGTGCGCCAGCCTGGCCATTGCCCAGGCCAGGGTGGCCAACTGCTGCGGCTCCAGCCACGCCACGCCGCCCTCCAGAGCCCTGGCGGCGGCGACGAGCTCCTGCAGCGCCCACCCGCCGTCGCCGCCCACGGAGGCCAGCGCCCACGCGGCCATCGAGATCTCCTGGCCGTTCAGCTGCCAGGCCACGTGGTGGAGCGCCTCTGCGAAGGGCCCGAAGTCGGCCGCGCCCACGCCGCCGATCTTCGCCACCGCCCAGGCCACGTTCGCCACGTGCCGGCCGTCCGCGCGCTGCATGAACCTGTGGCTCTGGACCGCGCGGCGTGCAGCCTCCACCAGGCCCTGGGAGTCCGTCTCCTCCTGCAGGCTGGCGCAGGCCCACAAGGCATTGGCCAGGTTCTGGGGCGGACACCCCGGGCCGGCCTCCTCGGGTGGGCAAACTTTCCACCACCGCTACCAAATGTAGGACGGGGGAGAGTGGAGGACGAGGAGGTCCTCCTCCTCCTCCTCCTCCTCCTCCTCCTCCTCCTCCTCCTCCTCCTCCTCCTCCTCCTCCCTCTCCTTCCTGTGGTGGTGGTGGTGGAAAATGGGCCCATCATCCTTGATCAGCCTCGCGGCGCGGGCGACCAGGCGTGCCAGCGCCGCGCCCTGCGACCGCCCTGGCCGCCCGGACGAGCTCGAGGCCTTCGCCAGGCGCTGCAGGGCGGTCGTGCAGTTCACGAGGTTGAACCCCTCGAGGTGGGCGCCCACGATCTGGAGGACCTCCTGCCTGGACCAGGACGCCACCAGCTGCTTGTTCCACTGCACCTGCTGCACGCTCGCCATCGCGACGGCGGCCGCATGCCGCGCCGCCCAGACCCCCGACGTCGTGTTTTTTGTTTATATATATATATATATATATATATATATATATATATATATATATATATATATATTATATATTACCACGTCGACCCCCAGAGGTCTGGACCCCTCCCCCGGGACCGTTTTTTCATCCTGAGTCGTTTTGTTGACGTTCCCGAGGCCCGGCGAGCGGCCCCAGAGGCCCAAAACAGCGAAAAATAACACCCGTCGTGATTTTTTCCACGACGCGAGAGGGTCAGGGCGCGGCGGGCGCGATGTGCCCGGAGCCGAAACTGTTACGGAGCCACACCCGTTCACGCCCGCCCCGTCCCTCGCCGGCAGGCCCCGACGCTCGGCTCGGCGGCCCGTAAAAAATACCCCCAAAATAAAAAAAAAGAGTCCAAAAATAGTTTGGGGACTCTTTTCCCTACCTAGGCTCTGCCTAGAAGGGTTCTTACTCTTTAGCTTAAAGGGGCCGGGCAGTGGAAAGCGCCCCGGGCGGTTCCCCCAGTCCCCGCCCCGCGGTTCCCCCCAGTCCCCTGGGAGCTTTAGCTTTAGATTTAGCTTTAGATTTAGCTTTAGCTTAGCTTTAGCTTAGCTTTAGCTCAGCTGTAGCTTAGCTTTAGCTTCGCGTTTCGCTTAGTTTGTCGCTTAGCGTTTAGCTTAGCGTTTAGCTTAGCTTTAGCTTAGCTTGAGCTTAGCTGTAGCTTAGCTTTAGCTTAGCGTTTCGCTTAGTTGTTCGTTTAGCGTTTAGCTTAGCTTTAGCTTAGCTTTAGCTTAGCTTTAGCTTAGCTGTAGCTTAGCTGCAGCTTAGCTGCAGCTTAGCTGTAGCTTAGCGTTTATCTTACCTTTAGCTTAGCTGCTGCTCAGCTTTAGTTTAGCTTTAGCTTAGCTTTAGCTTAGTTTTAGCTTAGCTTTAGCTTAGATGTAGCTTAACGTTAGCTTAGCTGTGGCTTAGCTTTAGCTTAGCGTTAGCTTAGCTTTAGCTTAGCTTCAGTTTAGCGTTCCTGTTACTACTAATGCTGCTTTCCTAGGGGTTCCAACTCCTAGGTAGGGTCTCACTGGGATAATTTGTTGTATGTTTTGACCTCTTTGGGGTATCATTTGAATGCTGTCTATTTTTCGTCGAAATTCCTCCTGTAGGGGGACACGCCGGACGTGACCTCAGAGCTGTCCTGGCGGGGGCCGTCTGGTGCCGCCCTGGGGCCCTCGGGGGAACGGCGGGCGTCCGAGGCGCGCGGTGGTCTCGCCCCGCACGCCCCCCTCTCGCACACGCGTTTCGGGCAGAATCGCACAGTCGCCCCGTCGCATAGGGATGCGCGATAAGGATGCGATCGTCCTCCTCCTCCACCTCCTCCTCCTCCTCCCCCTCCTCCTCCTCCTCCTCCCTCCTCCTCCTCCTCCTCCTCCTCCTCCTCCTCCTCCCCCTCCTCCTCCCCCCCTCCTCCTCCTCCTCCTCTCCACCTCCTCCTCCTCCTCCTCCTCCTCCTCCTCCTCCTCCCTCCCTCCTCCTCCTCCTCCTCCTCCTCCTCCTCCTCCTCCTCCTCCTCCTCCTCCTCCTCCCCTCCTCCTCCTCCTCCTCCTCCTCCTCCTCCTACTCCTCATCCTCCCGTCGCATAAGGCTTTTTTTGTTATTATGAGGCAGCTTAGAGGACCGTTTCACGATGTTGGTTTCGCCAGTGAACCGAAAAAGCTCGACACTCAGCACTATTCGCAATCGCCTCGCTGTCACGCCCCAGAGCGTGATCCCAGATACGGGTAAAAAAGCCCGCCCCCCGACGGACTGAGAACGGGGTTTCCGCGGTCACCCCCTCAATCAGGGCGCCGCCTGAAACCGAAACTCGCAAGAGAGCTCTGGCTTCCCCCACCCACCTCCCCACCGCTCCTCCTCGGGCTCCTGGCGGGAGCACGGGCGCAGGCGGCAGTCCTCGAGCGGCTCAGGACGAGCCGATCATGTCCACGTAGGCTCCGAGCTCCTCCTCCAGGTACCCCGCGGGAGCCTGGCCGACGGTCGTCGTCGCTCCGATCTGCTCCATGCACTGGCGCAGCAGCTTGCGCACCTCGGCCACGGGCGTCGCCAGCACGATCTTGATCTTGCCCTCGTCGTAGCTCTTCTCCAGGCGGCACACGTGGCACATCTGCACCAAGTCCCACGGCTCGAAATGTTCGATCCGCTGAAGCAGCTGCTCCAGGCCTTTCCGATTCTGGGCCCCCACCTCCAGCTCCATCAACGCCTTCAAGAGGTACACGAAGACGGTCGCGGCTGGTGGGCCGAGGTTGTGGCCCTTGCCCTTCTCCTTCACGGCGGCCGCGTACGCGGCCCCCCCCTGCTGCATGGACACCACGGGCTTTGCCTTGGCCTCCAAGAGGTACGTATCGTACAGCTGGCCCCGAATCTCGCGCAGCTGCTTGGTGTTGATGATCAGCTGCTTCAACATGACCAGGATCATGGCCTTCATCCCCCCGTCGGCCATCTGCACGGCTTTCGGCTGCTCCTTGTTGCGCCGACGCTGGCGGCGCTGGGGACGGCTGACGCGGCCTCCCTTCTGCCGCGGGCCCTCGGCTGCCTCGACGTCGATCCCCTCCTCCCGAGCGCGGCGGCCCGTCGCCTGCGGCGTGCCCACGTCCATCGGCTCGCTCAGCTTCTTGGGCAGCCAGCCGGGCGTCGCCATCACGCACGACCACACGCAGTTCACCAGACGGCGGCGTTGGTAAGTGCGAAAAGAAGGTGGCGCTCTAACTCCTCAAAGGTCTAGAATTCTTGGGCTACGGAACACGCAGGACATGTGCGTTCTGGCGGTTCGATGAACTCGTACGGGAATCTCGTGCGTGCCGCATAACACCGCGAATGTTTCCAGGACTCTTTGATGTGCATATATGTTTCATGTGTCGTCTTAAACACCGTGGAGCATATCAAGCATCGATTAGAAATCGTGAGTAGGTACAATATGTTTGGCCGACCGTGCTCACCGCTCAGTCCTGCTGAGCGCTGATGTGCAAGCAACCCTTTTTGTGTTCTAGCTCGATGTTGGCAAATATCTCCTCCCTCCATCTTCAACCCACATATGTAATCACCAGGACCCTCGCCCCCATTGAAGGCAGCAGGTGGTGGTGGCGGTGGTGTCGACGATGGTGGTGCAATAGCTGCACTCGAGAATTTCCTAAGCAAGCGTCGCTCGCCGATATTTCTCAAGGCTGTGACGACGTCCTCCCGGCACAGTGTTTCGACACGACGATCCTCCCAAAGCTCGTTAAACTCTCCCGCCTCCTCATCCTCGGCCAAGTCCTGGAGATCCTTGAAGAACTGACGGGCCCATGGGTTCGCTTGTGGATTCATGTTGGCGCGTCCCTCGACGATCGCGGGCGGGGCGACTGGTAATTTCAAATCTCCTAGCTCATTAGCTCGGTCGCGGTCTCGTTCGAAACGGCAGCGCCCTAATAGGGTGGCCCACCATTGGCGAGCCTGATGTCGATAACGAAGTGCATGCTAATACCATGTAATCCTACGGACTTTGAGGGCCAGGGAGACGGGGGCCATATTCCAATACTTCAGGACGTCTGCGTTGCTCATCTGTTTGATTTGGCCGCCGGGGTCCGTCCAGGAGGCGGCCCCCTTCATCATATACCTAAGTTTACGTGCGGCAGCTCCATCAAGTTTGTCCTCCTCCCCCTTCGTCAGTACATTGGCTTCCAAACCACTCAAGCTAGCATTATAGACGACTCCCAGGAACAAAAGACGCTTGAAGTCTTTGGGGATCTTGGGCCCCCCCCCCCCAGGTTCCTGAGTAAGCACACCAACCGATCGCCATGCTTTGCAATCTTTTTTCCACGTCAGTCGCGTTCGCGCAGGCAGGCGTCGTCTATCCGCCGAGATGCCGGAGGGTATGCAACAGGACACAAGGAAGCTGTTCGTGCTTGGCAAGGTCATGCACATGTCGGCGGGCGTCCAAGGACACGATGATCTCCTCTTTCTTTGGGCTCTGCTTGTAGCCCCCTCGCTGAAGCCACTCATCAAAAGCGCCACCCTCTGCATTTAAGTAGGCGATGCACTCTGATGGTGTGCCAGGCGACAGCAGCATCATGCGAAACAAGTCATCGATGAATCCCACAAGGCTGGGGTCGATGTCGCCAAATTCAGGAAAATCCGTGATCATCCATGGAGCCGACGTCGTAGCTGCTCTCGAGCTCCTCCAATGTTCAACAAGCGCGTAGTAGTCTCTCATGAAGAGCTCGGGCTCGCTGCTGCATCCCATGGGGCCGCCGCAGCCCATGCGTAGCCACAAATCTCCATCAAAAGCTCGGAGGCGAGTCTTAAGCATACCACGTCGCTGACGAAAACGTGGCTGAAGGTGAAAGGGCACGCACTCGCTGATCTGATTGAAACGGCGAGCGTGTGTGCCACAGGCAAATGCATTCGTGAGATCGTGACTGCGCCCCGCGCAGCTTTGTCTCGCCGCCTTTGCTTTCCAAAAAAGCATCCTGGGGATGGCGATCGCAGCTTCTCGTCGCCGGCGCGGCAGGCCCCCCCAAGCCCACGGCGGCGGGCGGTAGGCGACGCACTCGTGCATGAGGAGCGCTCTGAAGAAGCATCGCCAGTAGCCGCACATCGCATGGATCAGCCTGCAGCGCGCCACCGCGGATCCCGCGGCTGATATCTTCAGGTACTCTGGGGAGTGGATCTTCGGGAGCGGGGCGGAGGTCTTCGTCTTCGACAGGATGCACACCTCGCTTTGATTGGCCACTTGCGGTGCTGCACCAGCTCGGCAGATGTGCACGTGGATCTGGAAGAGACGATTTGCTCCTTCTCCTGCGTGCTCGATACCTTCCAGCGGGAAGAGGCGACGTCCACGTGCGCGGAGTTCGTCCGTATCCCCCTCACGAATGTGGGCTCCGTCAAAGTGGATGCCCTCGGGCGCATGTGCATCTCCAATTCCTCCGCTGGGCCGAGCTGGTCGAGACATGTAGTTCGGGAAAGCGATCACGATGAACAATTCTGTGGGGATACTCCATTCTGGTGCGTATCTTCGCCGTTTAGCTTTGTGTAATAAGTGTAGAGTACGTTGCATCTGCTCACGCGCTTCTTCCAGGAGATCCTGGGAGAGGCCAGCTGTCCCTGGAACTTGGCCGAACACCAGTTGTCTCTGATGGACTGGGTTATACAAATCATCGGGGAACTTGTACACTGTGGGCGCTGGCGTGCGTGTCGCTAGAAATCCTTTATCTGGGCCGTCCTGGGAAAGCGCTGGATACCATTCTTCGGAAGATGCCGACCTCGTCAGTGGTGCATTGTAAACCCGCTTCTTTGCGCCCACCTTTGCATATGTGAGTGCTCTGGCCATTCGATGTGCTACTGCGTGGTCCCCTCGGCGTAACGCTTCTAATAGAGAATCCTGTCGGGGCTGCTTAACCTGTGCTAGTCTGCGTCGCCGAACAAGTGTGAGTTGAGCACTCAGGCGGCGTAGCCGAGGAAGAATAGCACTGTCAGGTCGTAGGGCGTGTGTGCGACGTAGTTGGGCTCGAACCCGTAGCAAGCGATCTCGTTCAGCAATCATATCTTTGGTTTCTGAGGTCGTGGTGTACCTGCGCGTAAACAAGGGTGTGGCGGCAGCCCGAACGCAATTCAAGAACAACGCGTAGTGCATATCTGGAGTGCTTGCCTTTTCTGCTTCTGCAAAGTCATTCGCATGTGATATGAGCTCCTGACCTAATGCTGTGAGAAATTCAGCTCGATCTTCACCCCGCTGTAGAAGTGCGGCCACTCTGTCCAGGTCCCAACTTGTGTGTTCACGCTGCAGCGGTGCAGTGGGGACCTCGATGTAGTGGGTGATGCCGACGGGCGTGTGGTCAGGAACTTTTTTGGACACTTGCAACTTCAGCGCTGTACGTCTCCATGTGCTGCATGCGGTGATACCTGGCAGTAGACCCTTGGGCCCGATGATGAAGTCGATGCGTGTCTTATAACCTCGCGGACCCTGGTGAGTGTGACCAGCGCCGAAGAAGTGTGTGTTGAAGGCCGTCGAGTGGTGCGTGTTCATCAGCTCGTGCATGCGCGTGCCCACGCGGCCTTCATGATCACGATAAGCGGGGCCCACTGCGTCGTCAGGACCGTGTGGGTTGCCCAGGCCGTCATTCAGATCTACGAATATGTACGGTGTGACCCTTGCTGGGGTGTGCAGCAGCTCGAAATCTATCCACTGAAATAACTTATCTACTGTGACTTGCCATGTACTCTTAGCCTCCGCTGCTCTCGGTCTGGTGGGGAAGTACGCCAAAATGAACTTACACTGCATCTTTCCTTGGGAATATGTCAGTGATGCTCCCCGTCCGAGAAGGCCTGCTGGTGGCTGCTCGATGCGAGTGATGTGAGAAGTACGAAATCGTGATCTCTTCAAAAGCAGCGTCACCCCACAGCTCTTGTTGGTATATGGCGCATTATCCCATCCCCATTCTATGGCATGATGATGTCGAGTGAAATTCTTCGTATGTAATCCAGCTCGTTGTCGTCGGATCTGTGTGCCGATGAGGCCAATCACATCGGCAGCTCTCAAGTTGGCCGAGATGTCGGCGAGGCGGTCACGCTTCGCGTAGGCTGGGTGCACGAGAGTCAGCGCGGCCCTGCGCAGCGCTGCCATGGTCGGGGGGGCTCTGGAACGAGAGACATCACCGCTCAGCGGCGGGAATCATCCCCAGGCCTGCCAGGGCGCTCTTGAGCCACCGTGGCCTTCCGTCGCATAAGGATGCGCGATAAGGATGCAAGGGCCGTGGACGGCATTGCCGGAGCTCTCCGAGCGGGGCGCTGCCAACAGCATTGGCCAAGGATGGACCGAGGAGGCGCGGATGCAAGGATACCCCTGGGGAAGGCTGCCCATCCTTACTATGCGGGTTGACTGGGATACTGATACCGTCTGGTTCCAGCTTCGCCTTCCACGTGTCAGTCGGCAGCGCCAAAGCCCGCTGCCACTGCTCGCCCTCTGCGCCTGCGCGAACGCCAACGTTGTAGCTGAGGAAGTCGGGCTCCAACTTCGCGTCCCACATCTCTAACAGCAGCGCCGCAGCCAGCAGCCAGTGCTCGCACTTCCCGCACGCGCTCATCCCAGCGTTAACGTTGGGCTCCAGCCTCGCCCCACTCGTTGCGCTGAGCAGCACCGAAGCCCGCTGCCACTGCCCACCCTTCTCGCACTCGCTGCTCCCAGCGCTGTAAGTTGTTCTGGCCAACGCGGACTCGGCCTCGCCCAGCCCAGAAGAAGTCACAGTGGTGTTGGAGGCGGGGCGCACCAGATCCAGCATGCGTCGTGCCTCCAGGGTCTGGCTAGCCGAGAAGGCCTCACAGCCACAGCACCCGGGAGCCCGTGGCACGCAGCGCAGCTCGGAGCTCTGGCAGCGCCGCGAGGAGCTGCGCGTGGAGGGCGGGGGGCGGATTCACGACCAGCATCCCCGAGCCCTGCAGGGCATCTCCACGCGGCCACGAGCCCTCGAGCCACATCTCGGCCACGAGCACGCTGCCCACGGCGAGGCTCTGGACACGGCTGTGCAGACCCGCGACCTTCTCCTGGTCCACCAGCGGGTACCACAGGGCAACGCAGCTGGAGGGCGACCTCTGGAGCAGGCGCCGGAGGGCGAAAACGTTCCATGTGTTGTGGGACTGCGTGGAGTCGTACGGCGGGTCCAGAAGCACCAGCTGCCGCCCGCTGGGCCAGGGCCAAGGCCCAAAGGAAAGCCGCAGGTAGGAGTCGTCGTGTTGCAGCGAGAGGCGGGGACCTACCCCTCGGTCCAGTAAGGAAAAGCTCCGCCTCAAGGCCTCGTAGGGCTTGGCGGCGGCCTCGAACAAAACGGCGGTGTCCTGTGACCTGAGCCACTGCCACGCCAGCGCAGGCGAACCCGGGTAGAGGCTCAGGGCGCGCGAGGAGGAGCCCAAGGCTTGGTTGCACCTCCATACCGCGGCCAGATAGTCTGCAACCAGACCCCCGTCGCTGCGGTCAACTGCGTGTGATACCCGGAGCACGCCCCTTTCGAACATCCTGCATTGGAGCGTCTCCTCGGAGCTCAGGTCGTAGACACCAGAAGCGGCGTGCATGTCGATAAAAGTGAAGGGATCCGCGCACGCCGCCATCTGCTGCAGCAGAGCCACGAGAACGGTGTGCTTGAAGACGTCCTTGGGGCCACCTGCCTCGAGGTCGTGCACGTACCAGCCCTCGTCGGGGCTCTCGGCAGCAGCAGGGTCCACGCGGGCTCCCAGCATCGACTCGAGCAGGTCCAGGGCCCTGGTCCACAAATCGCTGGCCTCGCACGCTCTGATCCCAGCGAGGTAGTTGATGACATTGGGCTCCAACCTGAATTCCCACATCTCCCTGAGCAGCGCCAGAGCCCGCTGCCACTGCTTCCCTTTCCCGCAAGCGCTGATCCCAGCGCTGTAGCTGAGGGCGTCGGGCTCCAATTTCACCTCCCACACTTCACTCAGCAGCGCCAGAGCCCACCGCCACTGCTCGCTTTTTTTGCACGCGCTGATACAAGCATTGAAATTGATGACGGCAGGCTGCAATTTCGCCTCCCACATCTCACTCAGCAGCGCCAGCGCACGCTGCCATTGCTCGCCATTCCCACACGCGCTAATCCCAGCGCTGTAGCAGACTGGTGCGGACCCGTGAAACTGAGACTTGCACACTGTGGGTGAACAGCTTGTCGAAGTGAAACAGCTCGGGAGTCTTTCGGGCCGTGTCGGGAGAATGGTACGTCCTCCTACAAGCCTGTCTGGGGCGTCTTGAGGGCCTGTTGCGGTATTTTTGACGCCTTCCCCAGAGCCTCTTCTCGGGGACAGCACGGGACGCTTATTGTAGAATCGCCTTGGGGCCGTCCTGGGGCATCCTTGTGGCCCTGAAGGGCTCTATGGAGACAATCTTGGGGCCTTTTTGGAAGGAACTTGGGGCTCTTTGGGACCGTCTTCGGGCGCTCTAGGGCCATCTGGGGGCCTTTTCTGGGCAGTCGGAGGCCTCTCCTGGAAATCTCTTGGGCAGTGTTGGCGCGATGCAGGAGGCGCTGGTGGCCGTTTGGAGCCGTTCTCGAAGCGAAACGGGGGAGAACCTGACAATCCGCCCGCAAAAAGCTTAAGGAAACATGCGAGGTGGGCCTCCTGGGGCCAGAAACAAATCCTCCTGGGCCGTCGTGGGAGGCCTCCCGGCGCGGCCTGGGGGCCGTCTTGGAGCATTCGGAGGCTCGCTTCGGGGACTTCGAGTAGGGAGTCGACCACAGAAGTGATTTACCCAAAAATGGATGTCCCGGCCGCATCTACAAAAAGACGTCGAATGTTGCATGGACTCGACGAACAAATCCATTGTGGTAGCCCTAGGACCAGTTTTTCACCATGCGTTGTTTTTTCACGGTCCTGGGGCCTGGCGAGGGCCTCCCGAGGCCGAAAACGGCGAAAAACCTCCGTCCTGATTGTTGCTACGACTCGAGCAAGTCTTGGGTCAAACCCCTACTCGAGGTCTCCGGTTGCCTTCTGGGCGCTCTCCAGAGCGTCTCCGAGCCGTCGGTGGACGTCTTCTTGGATCGCCGTGGTGGTTGCTATAGGGATCGGGAAGCCCTATGCGGCTTACGGCGATTGGATAACTCCGCAAAGTGGGCTCCGCCCACGTTGGCCAGATCTGTACGCTCGTAAGCCACTTAGAGCATTTGCCTCCCACATATAAGCTAGGTTCGGCCAGAAAATTTCGACCTTGGCATCAATTTCTAGCCCCCGTATCCCCTCAGAAACCCCCGCGGCGATCCAAGTTGGAGCCTTTTCTGGCGGCCGCCCAGGGCCGTCCAGGACCGCCCCCAGGAGCGCCCAGGGAGCGCCGGGAGCCGCCCTGGGCCGAGCTGCGGCAGCGCAATCTCGCACACCCTGATGCGCACACCCGTATCGACTCCTCCTCCTCCTCCCCCTCCTCCTCCTCCTCCTCCTCCTCCTCCTCCTCCTCCTCCTCCTTCCCCTCCTCATTCTCCTCCTCCTCCTCCTCCTCCTCCTCCTCCTCCTCCTCCTCCTCCTCCTCCTCCTCCGCCTCATTCACCTCCTCCTGCTCCTCCTCCCCCTCCTCCTCCTCCTCCTCCTCCTCCTCCTCCCCCTCCTCCTTCTCCTCCTCCTCCTCCGCCTCCTCCTCCTCCTCCTCCTCGGCCTACTGGGTGGTGGACAAGGGCCCATCATGTACCCGCGGGGCACATTCGCAAGCGATTCGGCAGGGGAGCCTTGCGAACCTGTTTATGGGCGGCGCCAGCCTCTTGGAGACGTCACGGAGGCCCCGTGGGGCCGTGTTGGCGCCCTCTTGAGATCACGTTGGGGGCTTCTTGGGCTCTTGTTGGCCATCTTGGAGGCCGCTGAGGCCGTCTTGCGCTGTCGGATGCGCGAGAAAGCGAGAAAGCTGGAGATTCCTTCGAACACCTCAGGGAGACACATGATTTTAGCGTCCTCGGGCCATCCTGCAAAAGCTCTTGGAGCCCTCTCGGGCCGACTCGGAGGACCCCAAGGCCGTCTTGAGGCAATATTGGCCGTCTCTGGACCAGCTAGGCCCATGTTGAAGGCGTACTGGGCAAACTTGGATGCCTGTGAGATCCTCTGGGAACGTTCTGGAGGCCGTCTTGGGTGGCCTCGGAGGCCGTCTGCGGCGCGGTGGGCCGCGAATCGAAGACGTCACAAGGGCTTCTTGGGCCGTGCTGGGGCCTTCTTGACTAGGCCGTGTCGGCCGTCTTGGGCGATCTGAAGCCGTCTTGGAGGCCCCTGGGGCCGTCAAGGGTCGTCGGAGGCGCGAGAAGGCGAGAAAGCTGAAGGTTCCTTCAAAAGCCTCATCTGGATCTATGATTTTAGCCTCCGCGGGCCCTCCTGGAAAAGCTCTTGGAGCTATCCTGGGCCGACTCGGAGGCCTCAGGGGCCGTCTTGAGACGGTCTGAGCTCTTTGGCCATCGTGGGGCCTGCTTGGGACGTGCAGCGGTTCTCTTGGGGGCCTCCTGGGAGCCTCTGAGGCTAGTCGGGGGCGGTCTGGAAGGCCTCTGGGGCCATCTTGGGCCGTCGGAGTCCCGAAAAGGCGAGAACGCAAAAACCGCTCAACAGTCGATTTAAAATCCATGAGTCTGCCGACCCCGGCCTTCCTAAAACTGCTCTTGGATCCAGCATGGGCCGACTTCGGGGCCTCGGCAGCCGTCTTGAAGCCGTGTTGGGCATCTTGGGGCCTTGTTGGGCCGTCTGGACGCCCTCGTGGGCTATCTCGAGGCTACCTTGGGCCGTTTTGGAAGTAGGCGACCCTGGAGGACGCGGTCCTCTTGCGGGCCTCTTGGGGGCTCTTTGGGCTATCTGAAACCATCTAAGAAGCCTCTGGGGCCGTATTGGGCCGTCAGAGGCGCGAAAATGCGAGAAAGCTATTATCCGTAGAAAAATCTCCGGACCATCGATGAGTTCGCTCGCCTCGGGCCTTCCTGAGGGCCTCTCCGAGGCCTGTTGGGCCGACTTCGGGGCCTCCAGGGCCATCTTGAGGCCGTGTTGGGCCATCCTGAGGCCATTTGGGGTCATCTTGAGGCCTTCTCGGGCTCTCTTGGAGGCATCTTGGGCGACCCTGGAGGCCTTTCAGGCGGCTCGGAGTCTCGTCGGAACCAGCGCGGAGTTCCGAGGACCCGCCCAGGAGCCCCCAAGGGGGGCGGCCTCTTTGTCACTGCACGGCCTCTCATTGTAGGATAGACTAGGCCGTGGAGCAAATCCACACGTGCCCTGGCAGCGGGACGCGGCGACGAGTCTCCGGCCCATATGGGGTCATCTTGGGCGCCTCTCGGGCGCCTCTGGGGCCAGAGGCCGCCCCAGGAGGACCCGAGCCGCCCCCAGATGGCATCCGGGAGGCCTGCAGGGGCAGCCCCAGGGCGCCGGAACCATGCGAGGGTTCCGTCTTCCAGTCGCGCAGGGCCGGGAGAGCCTGGGGCCGCCCCGCCTTGGAGGACACAGAGCCGCCTCAGGAAAGCATCTGGGAGGCCTCCTGGCCCGGCTTGGGGCCGTCTTGGGGCTCTCTGGGGCCGTCTTGGGCCGTCCATGAGCTTTTTCTGGAGCCGCGTGCGGATCCTCTTCGGGGGCCTCTTGGCCCGGCTCGGGGCAATCTTGGGAGCTGTTGGGCCGTCGTGGACACTGCAAGGGCCCCAAGCTCGGGCATGCTCGAAATATTCGACAACCCTCCAGAAAAAAAAAAAAAAAAAAAAAAAAAAAAAAAAAAAAAAAAAAAAAAAAAAAATGTCTGCACCAGAAGACCCTGCTGGGCGTACTCTCGGAACCCTGTGGAAGCCTTTTAGAAGGCATTGCGGCCGTGTGTAGAGGGCTCCTGGATGCGGTCCGAGCAGCAGATGGGGTCGAAGGATCGCGCCGCATCGCAAATGCATCACCGATGCATCGGCGGTGCATCGGCAACGTCGGCGACGCATCCGCGACGTCAGCGCACGTGGGGAAAATCGGGTCCCGCATCGAGCCGCATCGTCGATGCATCGTCGATGCATCTACTCGGACCCCGTCTAGGAGGCCCAGGGTGTGGAGGCCGTCTTAGGCTGTCTTGGCCTCTGAGGCCGTCTGGACGCCCTCTTGGTTGGGCTCGCTTGGGCCGTCTGGGATGCGCAGGCCTTCCTGGCGGGCCCTCCCGGCAGGCCCCCTTGGGCGCTGCCGCCAGAGCAGTGCAGCACGCGCTGCCCCCCGTATCGTAGGATCGACCTGACGTCGGGCAGCACCTTCGTCTCCCACATCTCGCTCAGCAGCGCCAAAGCCCGCTGCCACTGCTCGCCCTTCTCGCATGCGCTGATACCAGCGCTGTAGCTGATGCAGTCGGGCTGCAATGTCGCCTCCAACATCTCGCCGAGCAGCGACAGGGCCCGCTGCCACTGCTCGCCCTTCCCGCATGCGCTGATCACAACATTATAGCTCATGACGTTGAGCTCCAAGTTCGCCTCCCGCATCTCGCTCAGCAGCACAAGTGTGCGCTGCCCCTGCTCGCCGTTCTCGCACGCGCTGATCCCAGCGCTGTAGCTGGTGACGTCGGGCTCCAGCTTCGCCTCCCGCATCTCGCTCAGCAGCGCGAGCGCCCGCTGCCACTGCTCGCCATTTGCGCACGCGCTGATCCCAGCATTGTAGCTGACGGAACTGTAATACAGACTACGGCTGACCCGCCGACTGCGTCCGCTAAATCTGCACGGACTGGCAGGTGATGATGGACATGGTGCCGGCGGGCTGAAATGATGAATTGGGGCTCGAACTTCGCAGTCCGCGCATGCTACTGCGTGCTGCTACTTGCTGCCGCTGCTGCGTGCTTGACGCTGCTGCGTGCTTGACGCTGCTGCGTGCTGCTGCAGTTCGGGATGCCGCCTTCGGGCCCCTGTTGGAGCCGTCGTAGGGGGATCTTGGACAGTCTGGGAGGCCCCTGGGGCCGTCCTGGATGCCTCTGGGAATCTATGGGGGGGGGCGGCTGGGGGGAGTAGAGGGGTCTTGACTGGAGGGGGCGCGTTTCGAAACTGGGTTTGGATTCCTTGTCCGGATGAGGAGGAGGAGGAGGAGGAGAAGAAGAAGAAGAAGAAGCAAGCCGCGCAACGCGGTTCGGGCGCCCGCCCAGCCCCCGCCTCAGCGGGGCATCATGATGAAGTAGCTCTTCAGGTTGAAGCGTCGACGCCAAGAGAGTTCTCAGAGTCTGCGGCCTCCGTTTCGCGCCGCGGCCCGTCCCACTTTCACCTCTGGGCCCTGGCCGCGGCGCTGGCCTCGCCGCAGCCCGTCCCCGTTCCACCTCGGGGCCCTGGCCGCAGGTCATTGGCTGGTCCTCGTCGCCTCGCCGCAGCCCGTCCCCGTTTCACCTCGGGGCCCTGGCCGCGGTTCATTGGCTGCTCCGTCCGCTGGTCGTGCTCCAGCTTCTTGGCCTTCAGCAGGTCGTACTGCTGCTGTAGCTCCTGCTCCTCCGCCGTCAGCTGGTCGAGCTCCAGCTCCTTGGCGCGCAGCAGGTCGTGCTGCTGCTGTAGCTTCTGCTCCTCCAGCTCGTCGGGCTCCCCCTCCAGGCCGTCGCTGTCCTGGGTGTCGAGCCGCGCGGAGTGGGAGAGCAGCACCCCGCCTTCTGGGAGCTGCCTGGTTCCGCCGACGATGCTGTCGCCGCCGACGGCCGCCTTCCCGTCGAGCTCGGCCTCGTGGAGCGCCCACTCGGCCGCCGCCGCCGCCATGGCCTGGTTGAGGATCGCGTCGTCGTCCTCGGTGCCGCCATCCCGCGAGCCGCGATGGCCCAGGCGGCTCTCGGCTTTGCCTTTGACCTCCATGCCGCCTTCGCCGCCGCTGGAGCAGCCGTCGGCATCGTGGGAGTCCTCGTCGTCGACGGTGGAGAGGGCGGCGTACCTCCCGCTCCGGATCTTCGCGCCGTCGATGTCCTTCACCTTGGTGACCTCGCTGGAGAGCGCCATGTTGATCTGCTCGGATGATACACCTGTGCCGAACAGTCCTGCGCACGGGGGCTGCGGCGCAGAGCCCACGCCATGGACCTTCTCGCCGACGTGATCGGAGCAGTCACGCTGCTGGTCCGCCGCTGCCTGCACGAGCCGCTCGGCAGCTTGCTCATGCTCCGGATCTTGCTGCGCCGAGCCCTTGTCCGCGGCCGCGCCCGCCGCGTACTCCGCGACACACGTGGGGCCAGCCGCCGCGCCGTCCGCCTGCCCGCAGCCCGGGTGCTGCGCCGGAGCGGATAGGAGGGGGGAGTCCAGCGGCGCCACGAACTGCGCCGCGCCGACGTCCGCCCAGGTGTGGAGCACGACGCCGATCACCGGCGTGCCCCACCTCGCCAGGCCGCACGAACACCACCAGCCGCCGGCCGGCAGGTCCATCGCGCGCGGCCCGGCCGGCGCTAGTCTCAGCACGAGCAGGGCTCGCGCCGAAACTGGAGGAGGAGGAGGAGGTGGAGGAGGAGGAGCTTAAGAGGAGGAGGAGGAGGAGGAGAGGAGGACAGGAGGAGGAGGAACAGAGGAGGAGGAGGAGGAGGAAGGAAAGGATGAGGAGGAAAAGGAGGAGGAGAGGAGGAGGAGGAGGAGGAGGAGGAGGGAGGAGGAGGGAGGAGGAGGGGGGGAGGAGGAAAGGAGGAGAAGGAGGAGGAGGAGGAGGAAGAGGGGGGGAGGAGTGGGGAGAACAGGGGGTGAGGAGGTTGGGAAAGCCCCTGGGACAATCTTGAAGGGCTCTTCTGGGCATTCTTTTGCAGCTCTCATGGGGGCCGAATTTCGGAAGCCTCTGTTGGGTTGCCTTGGGCGGTTGTGGGGACGGAGACGCGAGTTCAGGAGAGAGTGCGAGCAGCCTACAGTCGAAACGCTGTCATAAGGAACCCTGGGTGAGGAGCGAGGCCCCTTTCGATATCCCAAAGAACACACAAGGAAAACCTCAGACAATCTGCAAAACAATTGAGGAACACTAAGCCCCTCCCCAACAAAAAAGGTTCCTTCTTCAGTCGCCCGACTGTGCAGTTGCCGTTGCTGTGTGCTGCGGCTGCCGCTGCACGCTTCGTGCTGCGTGCTGCTGCCGGGGTCCGCTTTGAGCCACCTTGGGGCGCGCTGGGTGGGGGGGGGGCCGGCGTGGACCATCGGGAGGCCATCGTCCAGGAGCTCTCCTGGAGCTCTCTCGGGCCGTCTTGGAGCCCTCGTTTGGGCGGTCTACAGCGCCCCTCTCGATGCGCGTGGGAAGCCTCCTGGGCCGGGGTGGAGCCACCCCTCGAGAGAGAGAGAGGCCGCGTCGGAGGCGCCGCGGCCCAGGAGCTCAGAATGGCCCATTCCGGCACGCAGAATGTACGGCATTGTGAGGTAGACCAGGGCTGGCCTGTGGACTACCGTCTACGGGTGCCAGAGTATTGAGAGTGCGCTTGCTGCTGGATGCCATGGCAATGGACACTCGAACCGCTCTATTGAATCAAACATGTACTTCAAATGTCTTCTGCATGTTTTGGCCATGTTCGACACATGTTAAAGCATGCTTTGGCACTTTAAGAACATACAGTATCTCAAACATGTGTTAGACATCTGGAAATCATTTGGCAACATGCCTCGTCTCTATTGATCGTCTTCCACAAGCGTTGTGCTTCAGGGCGAGCTGGGTGCTTGATGATTCTGTGGGCGCCCGGATCAGCGTCTGCAGCAGCAGCAGCGAATGTGGCAGCAGCGGCAGGGGCCCGAGAGGGAGGCGGAGCGACGTGACCGGCAAACGACAGCAGCCACTGTGCAGGGGGAGTCGTGGGCAACGAGAAGGAGGAGGTCGAGGAGGGGAATGTACTTTGTGTGGGGGAAACCGTGCCCCACACCTCCTGGGACACGCGCCGTGCGAGAGAGATCCTTGAAAAAGCGTTCCGGGGCGTTGGCGGCTCGGTCCGGAAGCACTTTTTGGGTACCCCCTCCCAGGCGAGAGGTGTCCCAAGAGGTGCGGTTGTATGTGTTTCCAATCCGGCGGCGCTTCCAGGAAGTAGCAGCTCTTGCCGAAGCCTCTTCGGCATCTGGGGAGCTTCTTGGGCGCGTCTGTGGGTCCTCCTCGGAGCCTGTCGAGAGCGTCTTGGGAGCTCGGCGGAGGCGCCGAGGTGCGCCCCCGCGGGCCCGGCGGCGGTGCAGCCCTTGGCAGTACCAGCACGCGGACTCCTGGGACACCGCGCCGTGCGCGAGGGCTCGTGGAGAAAAGCGCTCCTGGGCGTGTGCGGCTAAGTCCGGAAGCAATGTGTTGCAGGACCTCCATCGCGAGCGGTCCCCAGAGGCGCGGAGTGTGGACGTTTCCGCTCCGGCGGCGCTTCCGGGAGGGAGCAGCGTCCTGGGCCTCTGGTCCTGGGCGTCTCGGAGCGACCCTTGGGGGGTCTCTCGGAATCCGCTTGGGCGCTCTTCTGGGGCTCTCGGAGGCCTTCCGGGGGCTCCCTGGAGGCTGCCGTGGGCTCTGCCATGCACAGCTGCCCCGATACGCAACACGCAACACGTATCGTATCGATACGGAGCTCAACACGTAGGCTGAAAACGTGGGTTCGACGCGGTACACTCGCCAAAACGTGGTCCAATGCGTGGGGCCAACACGCAACGTATTGACACGGACGTCTTGAACACGGGACGTATTGCGTTTCAAAACGGGCGTATCGAGGCGACTGAGCTGCCACGATGATCTGGGGCCGTCCCCACGGGCGAGTCCGCCGAGGTGCCGCCCCCCAGGGCCTCGCGGGGGTGGGCCGAGTGGCCTTATACTGGCCCGCGGACTGCCCGGTATGGCAGGTCAGATCTTTGTGGGCCCCCGAAACGGCAGGGCCGTTTTTCACCGTTTCCAGAAAAATGTCCCTTGCAAAAAAAAGCAACCGGAAACGGCAAAAGAAAAAGCTTCAGGCTTGGAACCGGAGCCGGATACGCTCAAAAAACGGCGACGGAACTGGTAAAAAAAACGGCGTCGGAACCGGCAAACAAACTGCAAAACGGAACCAGTACAAAAACGGCCCTGGCGTTTCCAGGGCCCGCTAAGGGTCAGATGACATCGGGCTCCCGCTTCGCCTCCCGCATCTCGCTCAGCAGCGCCAGGGCTCGCTGCCACTGCTCGCCCTTCTCGCACGCGCTGATCCCAGCATTGTAGCTGACTAGGGCAGACCTGTGGACTCCGTCCACGACATCAGCTCGACGTGGCGAGGGGTCTCTGGGCAAGCGCGGGGGGGTGCGGCTGCAGGGCCGAAAGGCAATCATGATGGCGTCGGGCTCCAGGACCTCCTGCTCTCCTGTGTTCCTCAGCTGCTGCTGCTGCTCGGAGGTCCTGCTGTTTCCTCCCCCTCCTCCTCCTCCTCCGCCTCCTCCTCCTCCTCCTCCTCCTCCTCCTCCTCTTCCACCTTCGTCTCCTCTTTCGCTGGATTCTCCATGCCCTCGGTCGGCAATCGTCGATCCTACGACGACTCTCCCCAACAGAGAAACATCGAAGGCCCTCGGAGCGTCCAACATTGTTCTTTTGTGCCTTCGATATGCCGGTCGCCTCTCGTCCGCTCCCCCCCTCCTGGAAGCAATTCTGAGGCCACTTAGGGCTTCGTGGGGGCCGTTTGGGGATCTCTTGGGGCGTTTTTGCCTGCGATATGCCTGTCGCCTCTCGTCCGCTCCCCCGCTCCTGGAGGGAATTCTGAAGCCACTGAAGGCTTCGTGGGGGCCGTTTCGGAGCCTCTTCGGCCTTCTTTTGGGCCTCCCGGGGGGGCTCTTAGGGCCCTCTCGGGCCGTCTTGGGTGCCTCTTGGGCCGTCTTGGGGCCGTCTGAGGCCCGCCTCGGCGCCTCTTGGGCTGTCTTGGGCCGTCTTGGGCCGCTCCTGGGGCCGTCTTGGGTGCCTCTTGGGCCGTCTTGGGCGCCTCCTGGGCCGTCCTGGGGCCGTCCTGGGGCGTCTTGGGACCGTCTTGGGGCCCTCCTGGCCCGTCTTGGGGCTCTCTTGGGGTCCTCTTCGGCCGTCTTGGAGCGGTCGGGGGGACTTCTTGGGCCGTCTTGGAGCGTCGGGAATCCGAAGAGGCGAGGAGGCCGAAAACATCGAACAACACGATAGAAATCGACGATTTCTGTCGCTCGGGGCCCTCTTGGGAGGCCTCTTGGGAGGCCTCTTCGGGCGTCTTGGACGCCTCTTGGGCCGTCTGGGGCGAATCTCGGGCGTCTTGGGCCCATCTTTAAGCGTGCCGGGGCTCTCCGGGGCCGTCTTGGGGGCTTCTGGGGGCCCTCTCGACATGTCCTGGAGCCTGCCTGGGCGGCCCGGGGCCAGCCCGGGGCGGTTTCGGTGCATTGGGGCCTGCGCCCTTCTGGCACGCACTGGGCCCTGCAATGTAGTAGAGACTAGGGCTGACCCGCGGCCTTCCGGCCGCGGAATCTGCCCGCCATGGCTTGGACGTGGAAGTGGAGCGTCTCTGGGGCCTCGCGGGTAAGGGGAGGTTGGAGGGGACGGTGTGGATGGAGGAGGTGGCCGCTGGAGGGGGAGGTGGGCGAGGGATGCAGGCAAGCAGGCCTGAAGGCAGGAACGCGGTGGTGGAGGCGGTGTCAATGGAAGCGCACCCATGTAGGCATGACAGCTGTTTCTGACGCCACAGTCTGTGTTCATCATAGCTTCTGCGGGGAAGGCAGCCGTGAGAAGTTATCTGCTCTTCGCCGGGGCCGAATGATAATTTGATGTGGTAGTGTGGTGACAATGAGGCCAGTGGGCGCGGCCTAGGAGGCCCGCAAGAGGGCGGCGAGACGTAACTCCCTAAGACGGGCCCCAGTGCGAGGACACGAATCGACCTTTCGAGCGCACCGCCCCAAGACGTCCCCAAATGGCGCAGAGATGGCTCGCAGTGGGTCCAAAAAGCCCCCAAGACGATACTGGAAGTTCGACGCTCCCCAAGAGAGAAGCATCCAACGCCTCTTGGGGGCCGCTTGGGGGCCCTTTTCGTCCTCCTGGGGGTCTCTTGAAGCCCTCTTGGGCAATCTTGAGTGCGTCTTGGGCCGTCTTGGGGCGATGTGGGGCCGTCTTGGGCGCCTCTCGGCATCTTGGGACAGTCTTGGAGCTATCTTGGGCAAATATTGGGAGCTCTTCGGGTTGTCTTTGGTGTTTCTTGAGCCGTCTCGGGCGCCTCTGGAGCCGTCCCTGACACCCCAGAGACCGTCTTGGAGACTGTCCAAACGGAAAGGCTTGGAGACGGGGCGGTGGGGGCATCTACAGCCGTCTTGGAGACGGGGAGGTGGGGCCGTCTTGGGCCATTGTTAACTGCTCTTGAGGCTGTCTTGGGTGCGTCTTGGGCCGTCTCGGGGCCCTCCTGGGGCCCTCCTGGGAAGCCTCTTCGGCGTCTCTTGGGCCGTCGTAGAGGCGTCTTGGGCCGTCTTGGCGCCGCAAAAGGCAGTCTTGGCTTGTCGTGGAGCGCTCTTGGAGCGTCTTGGGGATACCTGGGGCCGTCCTGGGAGCCTCTTGGTGTCACCCTGGGGCCGTTGTGGGCGCCT